TGTTCTGTATCCAAAGGTACTAACCTGCTTAGGATTTATAGAATGTAAATAAATTCAATTCAATTAAACTTAGAAGTCTTTAAGGAGTGAGCATGGGAGTTGAAAGCAGAATAGCTGTAANATCAATTTTAGGTCCCTTACTTTCTCTTCTCTACATAAATGATCTAACACCAACAACAATAAATCTAAATCAATTCTATATGCAGATGACACTAGTATAATATTTAAGAACTCTAAATTTGAAAACTTTAAAAATGACATAAATATTGTATTTGAAGCCTTAAACAGATGGTTCAAAGCCAATTTACTCTCATTAAATTTTAATAAAACCCATTACATATCATTCACAACTAAAAACAACCACCAAATTGATCTGGACATCAGTTATGCCAACAAATTAATCTGTAAAGTACTTGATACAAAATTCCTTGGAATACATGTAGACAGTACACTGTCTTGGAAAATACATATTGAACAAATTATACCTAAATTAAATGCAGCTTGCTATGCGATGAGATCAATTAAGCCTTTTATGTCACAGGAAACATTGAAGATGGTTTACCATGCCTACTTTCATTCTATTATGAACTATGGATTAATATTTTGGGGGAACTCTTCACATAGTGTAATAATTTTTAAAATACAAAAGAATATAATAAGAATCATTACAGGATGTAGAAGTAGAGATTCATGTAGAGAATTATTTAAGAAATTAAAAATTCTACCTCTTCAATCGCAATACATATTATCGCTTCTCTTATTTGTTGTTTACAACAAAGATAAATTCAAATTAAATTCTGATGTCTATAACATGAATACTAGACAAAAATATAACTTCCACCTACCCTCATCAACTTCATCAGTATATCAAAAAGGAGTCTACTGGCATAAAAGTGTTCAACAATCTGCCACAAAGTATTAAAAACTTGGGCAATGATACTAAAAAGTTTAAATCAGAGTTTAAGAATTATCTACATGCTCCTTCCTTCTACTCTTTAGATGAATACTTCAATGTAAATAGAGAATGATGTAAAATTAAGTTATATTAATTTTTAAGCTAAACTTGCCTGTACTTATGTATGTAACCTTTTGACTTGTTCTGTATCCAAAGGTACTAACCTGCTTAGGATTTATAGAATGTAAATAAATTCAATTCAATTAAACTTAGAAGTCTTTAAGGAGTGAGCATGGGAGTTGAAAGCAGAATAGCTGTAACTCTTTAAGGGAGACCCTTAATGTAAATTTTAATACATTTTTTTTACTTATTTTTATGTCCTAACACCATACTGTGAAATATGGTCTGTAATAATGAGACATTCTGTATGTGTGTGTGAGTGTGTATGTACACACACACTATCATGTTTTAGTAACCAGACATGGGGTTTGGTTCAGTAATTGGAGTTATCAGACTCCTCTAACTTGTAACTAGATAATTACAACCGTTTCACAGATCTGCACACTCTACAGATCACTGTACTGCAGCACACATAAAATCTTCTATGTCTTCACTAGTCAGTGCTCAGTTACAGTTCCCAATGTCTTCTGCTTAAGTCGTTGTCAGCTGACTACCATCTAATAACACATGGTCTCAACTAACTCATTACAGTGACTAACCATCAACTAACTACTAGCCAGCTGATGTCTCCGTTATATAGCCTCAGCATGGACTGTATAGAAAACACTACTACCAACAGTTCCTTTATTGTTATGTGTATCAGCTTTAGTGGATACATGTGTATTGAACTGTTACAAAGCAATGCCTGTCTTTGACTGTCATAATGTCATATTACTCCCTCCTTAAGTATGCTCAGACAGTATAGTCTATAGCAGTGTTGCCATTTCTTCTTCCAGACTGGGGGGACAGAAATCCTGAAAGTGGCCACTGCTCTTACAGCACCAGCACATAAGCTATTGGTAGTCTCATCTTTCATTTGGGTGGGGATGAGATCCTCCACAATGCCCTGTTGCTCATTTTCTGCAGCCTGATGAAGACCAGACTGTCAGCTTTATGACTTTCAGCCTGTCTTGAAAAGACAGAGGCCTCCGTCTTCTCTAGATAGGTCTCTATCTTCTCCAGACATACCTCTGTTACTTCTAGGCAGGCAACTGTCATTTCTAGACAGGCCTCCATGATGGTCTTCATCTTCTCTTGGCTAGCTTTCATTTCTTCTTGAATCGCCAGTGGGCATTCTATTATTTGTTCCATTCTTGTAGTGAGACGATGTAACAAGCTATTGTGTTCTTCAATCCAACAATTCAGCCAATACAATCCATCCCACTTCTGACACCAGTTGTCATGTGTTAGTGACCAGACAAGGGGTTTGGATTGGTAAATACATCTACTGGACTCTCATAACTCATAACTACAGATAACTATAATCATTTCATAGATCTGCACACTCTACAGATCACTGTACTTCAGTACATATAAAGCCTTTTATGCCTTCACTAGTCATTGCTCTGTTATGGTTCTCAATAATATCTTCTGCTTATGTCATTTCCAGCTGGATATCATCTCACAACTTACATACAACATGGCCATGCTGGGCATCACAGGCAACATTAAACCTTCAAGCTACACTTCAAAGAACATGAAATAAAGCACCTATTTTCTAAGGCACCAGACTTTTCCAAAGAAAAATATCTGCTGTGAACTGTCATATAAGAGCTGGTTCACTGCAGAAATATTCATCTAAAAACAGACCACTACTATGAGTTATTATCTGACATCAGCACAGGTCAACAAACAGGATAACGTGGTCCAAATTTAATTTACTATAAAGCACACGGCACTATACTGTTAGTGAATAAATAAATAAGAAATTCTGGGGAAAATCCTTGTTACAAACATTCTCTTGAAAGATGTTCTTAGTATGGGAAGGCAAACAAGAAGTTGTAAATTAACAATTATACAAACCAGTATATTACTCCCTTGCACAATTCTTGCCATTATGAGTAACTGCCATCTGAAAGTTATCAGGAATAACATCAAGGTTTCACACAATTAATTAACTAACAACCAACCAACCAACCAACCAACCAACCAACCAATCAACCGTTTGCCTGTCTGATCGACCAACCAACCACTTGCCTACTGCCTGCCTAGCTCCATGGAGCAGAATCCTTCACATGCCATGTAAATTTGATGTTTCTGTAATGACCTATATATGTAGTCCACTGTAACTTACTTGGTTTAACTACTCTAACAATAATATGGGGAAGGGTGCAATAAACTGGAGCACATTTAGAAAATATTCAGTGCCAGCATTGAAAAGATTACATATGCTGCACTGATACAGACAAACATAACATGAGGTCATTTAATCTAATATTCACCTTTGGGAACCTTTCCTTGTACAAAGTATTCATCATCACTATCTCATCATCAACAACAGGCGATCGACTTGGGCTACTGAAAAACAAAACAAAAAATTGAATACATTTTATTTAACATTCGAATTGAAGTCAAACAATGATCACATGCAATGCAAACTTGTTTTATACATCAACATGATTTTACAGCTTAGTACAAAATCTTATAAAATGGAGGTAATCCTGTCAATGAACATGTTCAGAGAAATCTGACTACCTACAAAAATCCATTATTCTAGACTAATACCAACACTCTTCTCAATAATTCAAACTTATTACTTTTCATTCAATTAGAACTAACACACTGATCATGCAGACACATTCTGTTAGATGATGCACAGATTTTGTTTGCTCAGAAGAGGGCATGGAAGGCACCATGAAACTGTTAGACAAACAGATCACTTTCAGGTTGAAATAATTTGTTATATACATTATACAGCTGCATTACAAATTATGCCAAACACAACTCCTGAATATCATAGACACACATTTACCATGACTGAGATTTTTACAAAAGAGATAAAAGAAAATATAATATATAATTAGCCTAAGAATAGCATATCAGGAAATTATATCCACATCAAAACTAAACAATATCAGCATGAAAACTTTTCTTTGGCATGGTTATTCTAACAATGAATACTTTATTACAGGGGTGTTTCACAAAACAAATGAGCACAGAGTTTCCCATAACATCTTAAGTATCATATATAAGGAAATTTTAAAGCTACTGACATGTTCACAGCTCCGTGCTTTACCGCTACCAGGGCATCGCCGGCCACTGAGTGTAAGCAAATTTTGTCGATGACCTGACATGCTTATTGGCCGATAACTTTTGGAATGAACGAAAATAATTAACTAGTAGACCTCTACACAGTATTATGTTACATGGCGGAAAGTGCAGTTCATGTATGGGAGTTTATGGTTTCTTAGCAGCAGGCAGTAGTTATCAGTGCAATGAGTCATTTGCTCCCAGTTAACAGTTAGTCAGCAGTTTGCCATGACATAGTACACAATACTTTAGGGCAATGTGTATTTCTGTATGACACTTATGTGAAATATGGATCTGCTGGAAAGTGTCAGCAAAAATTTTGATATAAATTTCATGATGAAAGAGTGCCCAGCAGATAAACAATTCATGATTTGGCGAATAAACTTAACAGGACTCTTAATAGACAAAAAAAAAAAAACAAAAAACAAAAACATAAGCATCGAGTGCTTACTGAGGAGAAGTGATCCTTTTGATTTTTTATTCTTGGGTTGTGTGAAGGAACTGGGTGATCAACATTTAGAGAAAGGAAGAATACAATTATGTTCCTACAAGTTTCAAAGAAACTACCATCAAAACAATATGAAATCTATAATAATTATCGAAATGTAAGTGATTACATTTCATATTGTGGTATGGAAATCTCATTAGGAATTGAAAATGGAACTTTGGAGAAACATCTAAAGGACATTAAAATCATTATAACATAGCTTAAAACAGTTACAAATTTAAGTTGTGAATACCTTGTTTACTCTGCTGTACAGTAACAGTTCTCAGATATCTGACATTCACATTAATTCTGAGACTTCAAGAACATTAGTCTCTTTCATAGAATTGCTTTATAGAGTCAGATATTTGTCACTGATATAATATTTTGTACTAGATTCCTCCTGTACTGTATCTGACCTTTATAACAGCCTGATTAAGATATCTTACACATCCAATAATTCAACTGTAGCATGTAATGCAAATGCTCCTAACATTTATCTAAAATGGCCATACCACCTACCAATGCACTGAAGTATAACACCAAAGGCATGCAGTTTAAGGATGTTCATAAGTCTTGTTTACTGAATCATATATTTATTTATCTGCTCAATACAAAGCCACAATTCTTGTCAGCCATGTCTGTGGTCACAACTCAACTTACTCTGCGAATGGGTCAGGTACATACAGTGTAGCTTACATGTGTAGCTTATTTTATATGAACCTGTAACTTACAAAGAATTAAGTGATATTATTAAATCCCTTAAAAATAAAAGTTCCTATGGCTATGATGAAATATCGACGAAGATAATAAAATTAAGTATGTTATATATTATGTCCCCTCTTATTTACATATGTAATAGGTCCTTGGCCACAGGTACATTTCCCTCAAGGTTAAAATACTCACAAATACATCCGGTACACAAGAAAGGTGATGCGTCTGAAGTATCTAATTATAGACCAATTTCTGTGCTTACATCCTTTTCTAAAATATTTGAAAAGGTTATATATAATAGAGTGTATGCTCATGTAGTACTTAATAATATATTGCCTGCTGAGCAACACGGATTTAGGAAACATCTATCTACAGATACTGCTATTCTTAGTTTACTTAATAATATTATGCAGGCACTTAATGACAGAAAACTGGT